CGTATGAACTTGTATCCTTGTTCAATGTGTCAACGCTTTCTCCCTCTCTCTCATTGAACACCGCAAATTACATGCTCAAATATACAGAGCTGAAATGGATCTTGGAGAAAGCATATTGAATTAGGTCTAAATGGTTTATTGCCGACCCTGCTGCTGCCAACGCAACCGTGCATTTGTGCATAAAAACTTGGTAGTACTTCATTCTAATTCCAACACTCTATGTATTACAACTCGGTAGCAATAGGTTGGTGATGGAATGCCGATGCCCTGGAAAGAATTTCACCCTGGAATTTTTTGAGAAGTCGAAATTGTGCAACATGTACAGAGAGAGGGAGGGAGAGAGGGAGAGAGAGAGAGAGAGAAAGGGAGAGAGAGAGAGAGAGAGGGGAACCATTTATGACATGCACCCGAGCTGTTATTGGGATGTGTTCTTCCATAGAGCTGAAAAATGTCGGCTGTTGATGAGATGTCAAATCACTGCACATCAGTATCAATCCCCAGTCAGATATAAAATGTATGTCACAAAACATGACAAGGATTTTAGCACAAGTCAAACGATACTATTTTGTATGTTGAAGTGGAAATGAACGTGTATGTTTTGTCCATACATCTGTAAAGAAATCCTAAAACATCTTCTGTAAAACATCTTTAAATTTCAAAGCAAGACGACTTTATTACTGGTCTGTGGAGTGAAAAGCGATTTGTATAGGTTGCTTTCATTGTCCTCCAGATGTATTGCACAAGATGTTTGTACATGTAGTTCTCAACTCTTCTAACCATTATGATTGATTTAACATCATAGCTCCAAATAAGCTGAAACACTAGGACTTTTAGATGAAATTCGGGTCTAAGAGTAGTATAGGCCCAATGAGAGATCCTTGTGGCACACCCATATTGCCTCCAAAAATCTGCAACTCTTTGGATATTATAACCCTTTATTAAAGCTTTAAAAAACAAATTGAAATGATTTTATAAGATGGTTTGTTAAATCACCTATTCAAATGGGTACAGGGTTGAAGAAGAAGAAAAAAAACTATACATATTTAAAACAATTTCTATTCAAACATTATTAAACAAATTATGAGACTAATCAATACTTGTTACACAAATCAAGGTCTATTTCTTTACCTGGGAATAAACACATACAAATAGTGTTTACACATAGTATGTGTAGTTGATACAATAAGAAGACATGATTATATACAGCTGTTGGGTAACTTCAAACATTCCACTTATCCAATCCATATTTTCTGTTTCAAAGAGAAAGAAAGTAAAATCTCAAGTCCATTTACAAATGTACATGTACACCTACAGTGTAGTGTGTGTATACAAACGTATACAAACAAGAGTACTAACAGTAAAAGGACTGATTGACATGCTATTGTTACAATATAATTGTATTCCTTTGTATGTCAACGGCTGTTCTTTCCATAGAGGCATTAGTGAAAAGTGAAATTTCAGATACACTCTTTTTTTCTGGGACATTAAACATGAATAGATATGCAATATTTTCATTGACAAAGAAAATACAATATGGTAAACCACCATGAGAAAGCATCAGTTACCAGTCTGTCTCGATAGATGATGTATGGTGGCTTTGTGGATGAAATGAACGAGAGAAACAAGTGGATTTAATTAGCATGGCATATGCATTGTCACAGCCTTTCTACTCGATCAGGTACTTCAAATTTCCATACATTTGAGGCATACCGGTAGGTTATTTCAGCTAGTATTTTCATTCTGTCTCGTTCAAATATGTATGAAGTTTAAAGATAAAGACCAGTTATGGTCGTGCTATTGCATTTTGAAAGAAATGTTGTGGAATCGATCAGGAAAGGTTGATCATCTAGCATATTATTGGTGTGTACTGCAAGGTTCTGGAATCATCAAAATGATAAGAAATTTGGCCCAGTCATCGTAAAGTTACAAGCACTATACACAGAAACATGTATATGGGACTATGCACACGTGCACGACACGTGTGTTTATCTCTCACATACCAATAGATTAATTTACCAAATGTATCAATTAGTAGGCGGTTTCCCGGCAAAATTATTATCATCATGTATTAGTCAAAACATATTCTTTCACATGATCGGTAAAAAGAGCTTCCATTTCATTTTTTGAAATTGGGGCATTTCCAATACTGGTCTTTACCTTTAAGTGGAAACAGGATTATGAAATGAGTTTTTATAATGAAATAACACTGTGAATAGATTGGAATGTTTAATGGTAGATTGAATGCAGAATGCACATAAAATTTACATTTTTTGATAAAAAAAAGAGTACTATAATATATATTGGACTAAATGCAATACAGTTAGTTCTGTGGATGTCTTGTCCAGGCAATAAAACAGTAGGAAGCTCACCAATTTGAAGATAACAATGATTCAGAACCCCTTTACATGTTTTAAAGAAACAAACAGACTTCTTTGATGTTAAAAGCGGTGCTACTAATTGACATCAAGATGTCCTTCTGCTGGTATTGGAGTGCTTTCTCATCTGGGTTCTAAGCTAGCTGAAAAGGTTTTAATCAAATTTGAACTGACTCTCTCGAGAAACAAAATCTGAAAGTATTTTCTTAGTTGGAGGTTACAATGACGTACAAAGCAGTGATTTGATCAAATGCTAGGAATTGAGGGGGGGGGATGTGAAAAGATGCAAGCATAAAATGTTTTCTCCAAGAAAAAATGTCAGAAATGATGTACAATGTAGACCTACAATACCCTTTTTGTGATCATAAATACTTTTGTGAAATCATCCTTTGAAGAGCAATGTCAATACCCATTCTATTTCTTGTAGACATCATTTGGATTATCATATAATACTTCATCATGGAAAGTGTTTGTGATCATGTTCTTTAATTAAAAGAAAGGTGTATAATGGAGAAGATGAAGTTTGTTTACAATGAATTAAGAAAGACGCAGATACATGTATAACAATAAATCACCTTAGAAGTGGATATGATACTTGATTTTTTTTTTATCCACTTGTGACTGGTCTTGTGCAATAAACTCTGGTAAATGATGGAGCGGGAAGGAAGAGAAGGATGCCAATATTATGGAAAGATTATAAGATGGGATCAATGCTCACAAATCTTGAACAGTACACATGAGCAAGTAGAACGCAGTGGGCCACTGATTTGTAGGAATCTCTCTCAATCAAAAAGGCCAAGGAACCCTGGACATGGAGGAACACAGCCGTGTTTCTCTGACCAATATAGGGACGGCATGGCATACTTGTGAAAATTGGAGTGCTGCAGAGAACTAAGGATGCTTGCAATTGTGCATATATATATATATATGATAGTGGTGAGAGGGGGAGGGTTGGGGAGAGGCCGAGAGGGGGAGGAAGAGAAGGTGGAGGGAGAGAGAGAGAGAGAGAGCAAAGGGGAGGGGAAGAAAGAGAGAGCAAAGGGGAGGGGAAGAAAAAGAGAGCAAAGGAGGGGGGGGGGGTGGAGGGGATGTATATAAAGAGGGCGAAGACAGGAAGGAGGGATAAGAACAGAGGTACAGGGAGGGATGGGAGAGGAATAGCAAAATCAGAGGGTGGAGATAGAGTTAGAGGGGTAAGAAGAAAAAAAGAATAAAGGCAGCAGAAAGGATTGGGGGGGGGCAATAAATAGAGAAAAGCAGACAGATAGACAAAGAGGGGGGGGGGGGGAGCATCGAACTTGCAGATATAAATTATAGATATAAATCTGTGGATTGCACACTTATTTCAAACTTAACTCAATATTATTTCTGGTTTTCTTCTTGTGAAGATGAGCAATATTTGTATCTGTAGTATGAACTAATTACTTAAATTTCCTGTATGATGGAGTCTTAAATCTGTAATCAAAATCTCTAAAAATTAATCTTATTTCCCTCTCTATATACGAAAAAGAGTATTCCCCAATTACTGTTGGGAAGGAGTCATTTGTATGGTGTTGCAGGATTGCAACCAGCATATTACATGTTTCATTCTGAACACCTCCAAATGCATAGTGTCACAGGTAATACAAATTACTACTCTGTATTGTTGTTACATCATTCCCTAAAATGTTTCAAAGGCCGATTTACCATCCCTTTTTTGTATGGAGGGAAGGAGAGGTGGGAGGGGGTGTAAGCAAAGAAAAGAGTAAAAATTAGAAGACCAAAAAAAATGATTTAACCTAAACTGATGCATGGGATAGGTAAAGACAAAGAAGATGGGGGGGGGGGGGGGAGAATTACTGAATACGAAGAAAAATAGCCATAAAATTGAAGAATAGTAATAAAATTGAAGAATAGTACACATAATAACAATGTATTTCAAAATTGGCCTAATCACTCAGTTCAGAAGGTGATGCATGGGAGAAAAGTTGATTATGCTATAGCCCCCTCTTGTGTTGGAATCAATTGACCAGTACTAGTAGCTCTTGTTCAAGCGCACCAGTGTGTATCAGCACTCAAATTGACTAACATGTGAGGTATGCAGTGTTTTCGTTTTGACAGAAAGGTGATGTGTATAAAGATAGTACAATTGTTCTCCACGTTTTGAAAAGAAATTAAACATGTGGTTATGCCACTCAATCATTAGTCATGCAGAACAGCAAATATAGGTGGAACCGCGTAATTATGGATCCATATTTACAAGAATTTATCAGTGAACAGTAGAGATGAATAGTTAGTTGTTTAGATCATGTGTGTTTATGTGAAGAAGATTAATATTATGATTTGAAATGTCAATATATTTCTGTACTGAGAGATCCCCCAATCCACTTCCGATGAAATTTGAAAATTACTTACACATAGATTGGAAGCTGTAAAGTTGTGCTTTTCAATGAAGTACCATTACATTTAAGAGTACAAAGAGAAGGGGAGAATGATACACCTAGTGTGTGCATGTAATTCCTTGCTATTCAAGCCAACGTGTGACCTATGTACAAGTAGGCCATACTATTGTTATGTTAGTCCACAAATAACCTCAGTGTCCAGTGTTGGTAGGATCCCCCAACCAAAAAATACGACAAAAGGTTTTTGGAATGCGGCTATCCAAGCATATCCAAGCAGGTCCATTGAAGCGCTTACTTCACCAACACACATCACGCAGTCAATACGCCTCCTGCTTTGCTTTTCATTCCCCTCAATGTCCATAGACACAAGCTGTTGTTGATGAACGGAGCCAGCACGAGGCAATGGGACTGAGCTTGTACATTGCATGGAAATCTTGTCATCGACTTAGGAACATCTATTAGTGGAATACATTTGATTATACTTGACGAGGAGGTACATTCAGGATTTGATTGTGGATTTGTGAGCGCTTATTAATAACGTTGGGGCAGTCAGCAGCGTGAGTTCCGTCGATGCCACCTTGCATCGCCGTCGTCATCACACGTTTGTGAAGATCTATACCACTCTATCCTCAATCTGTTTTCATGCCGGTACCTCAGCTCAGTGAGAATTATGCTTTTGCATTGCCATGCTTCAGCGCACATTTGCACAACTCACTCACCAACCTTTCTGCTTTCTAACACGTAAGTTCTGTTGTGCTCTACTAAAAACACTATCATCCTTGCATGGCCCGTACTAATCATTGTCCACCTTTGCATGTTACAAAGGTGTCCTTCAGGCTTTGGTGTTGTGTGTCATTGCACTCTCCCCATGGGAGCTCATATCATCCTCTCATCCCTGCACCATAATAAATACTATTTTTCTCATAACCTTACGTCAGGGCAGATGGTACATGTAGTTACTAGGTAATTAATCTTGTCACTATACAGATACTGAAGGAACACTTGGGAGACCATTGTGTTGTAAAACAGACCCACCACGAAAGACAATACCGCCACCACCATCACCACCAACACCTCCAACACCAACACCACAGGGGGCTACAAGAATTTTTTTCACCACTTGCCCTGTCGGGCAAGTGGGTTTTCAATTTACTTGCCCAAACAATATTTCCACTTGCCCAAAACTTTAAAGCGAAAAAGGACTCTGATCTTGAGACCGCAGTAATAAATTGAAAACGAGACAAAAACATTCATCTGATTTATATGAGCAGCGAGTTTTAAATAATATGTTCACAATCATTAACAGTCATTATGAATAAATATCAAACATTTGACTTTTTGTACTTACTAGAAAATCCCTGTTGTTTATTCCATTCCGATTCGCACGTGTTCATTTCCCTAGAATAATGACGTCATATTTGGCGTGATTCAACCAATCGGCAATCAGAGAATAGCAAAGGCCTGTCGGTGCGGCCTGCAGAGCTAGAGAGAGAGAGCGCGAATAAGCTCGCAGCTGGTACGATCGCGCTAGCTGTCTCTAGCTAGCTCACGGCCGGCCGTGCGTGGAGGCGGAGCGGCATTCATGGCTTGAAGTGTCACTGTTGCATGCGCGCTGAGCTAGCTGAGCTGGCTAGCTGTCTGTGAAGTTTTTTCGAAATCGGAACGATCGCTTTTTTGCTTCTGGATTTTGACGACGGGTAAGAAGTTGACGGGTGAATGGTAGAGTTCTTGGACACTAGGAAATTACTGTAAAAGTATCACTTGCCCGAATCGGGCAAGTGATAATTTGATTTACTTGCCCGACGGCTCAATTTGGTTGCCCCGGGACGTCGGGCAAGCGGGTTTGTCGCGCCCTGCACCAAAAACAACAACAACAACACACAAAAAGAATAATAAGATATCTCTCTGCTCACTTAAAAAGGAATAGTAATTTTATGAAATACCTACTTACACAATTATAACAAATGTCAATTTACATCATGTGAGAGGTTTATCAGCTTTTCCAAATTATTTCATAGTGAAATGCACATTTCACCATGAGATAATATCTAGTAATAATAATACTGATAACAATGATGATGATGATTGATGATGAGTCTTGTAAATTGCATACATTGTATGTCTGGCGCGTTGCCAATCCTGGTGTGCCATTTACATTACCCCAACATTAATAGCATGGCTGCCATTACAGGGCTCAAACATATTAGGGAATTAATTCATGCCAGGCCAGGTGCCCATTTACCTCACTTTGGTGGAGTGTGGCAAATGTAGACCAATGTCTTGCTAAAGGACATGAGTGCTGCAATAGGGATTGAAACCCTGTACCTTGTAGTTCACAGTGCGTAGACTTATCTGCTCCACCATAACACCTACAGTGTAAACAAGAATTGTAGCAGTGCTGGACTTATGACTGTTTTCTTTTTATAGCTTGATTGTCATTAAATGCTGTCACTAATTTTGTTCATCCTTGAAATTTGTGAAATTCAATACTGTTTTTACCTTGAAAATATGTATTTATCGTTGGATGAATGAATCATAAAGGAATCATAGTTGGGGCTTAATCAGGCCCAGCAAATCTTTTGTAATTGGACATTTTATAACCTGACGGAGAAATGGAGCATATACAAGGAAATGCAAGGAAAGGCAGGATTGCAGTATTAAAGAGAGATGTGATAATGAAAGAAATATATTTAATCAAACATTATGTTTTGTAGAACAAATTACTTGTATTAGGAACATAACATAGATGTATAAAACATGGATTGTATGAAATATGGACACGTGACTCAAATCTTACTAAGTATGTTCGATAATGTATTTTTCAGTCGGTTTCACAATTTTTTTCCATGTACATGTATTCACTATTAGATTTAATTGCACAATGAAAAAATCTGTAGCACTTGAATGCAAATTCTTATGTTTGGAAATCTGATATCATAGATTCAGCGCCAACTTTAATATACAATGTGTATTCTTGCACAAGTATCTATTTGTAAGGCTTGTTTGCAGGCTTTCTGCTTGTTCATACACAAACCTCTGATGCTAATACAATGACGTGGAAATGAATAAGGAGTCGTCTTAATGCATTTCATTAAGTACTCTCTCAAGACTTCTGTCACGTACAAGCTGCACGGCACTAAAAAGGGGTTTTTAAGAAAATTCTAGTCTCGCTGTCAGAGGCTGCTTGACTTAGTGAGAATTTAATTCAAAATTTTGTGTGAATACTGTAGTTGAAATTTGTATTTTGTAATTTATGTAAGGACAAAATATCAATGTCACTATTCCAAGGGAATGTAAACATTTCTTCACTTTTATGAGATGAGATTTTTATGAGTACTTACTAGGGGAAAGGGGGAAAAAATTGATGATCTTATTTGTTTAGGAGCTTTTGCCTTATACTGAGCCTAGGGGGGCTTCTGTTTTCCTGTTAACATTTTATCAAAATTGATTTCTTCGCCCCGCTTATTACTTTGTGGATTTTCTTCTTCTTGGTATTTTTCTCCTTTTGCAATAAATATGACACTGGACAGGCCCTCACAGGCCATTAAGAACAATCAATTCTCCTTCTCCAGCACACGTACATGTAGGTTGCCATTCAAATCATCTTCAATTGCATTAGGCTCACATTTGCCAACCCATCGGCAAGCAGTGAAGACATTTACCCCCGTAATGGGGCCCACGGCACTCTCTTGAAATATTCACTGATCTCAAGATGTGTGCATGTTTTATGGTGCATGTTAAGTGTAAATAGATGCTTTTCAACACGCATGGCAGTGTAGAAAAAGACACGGTCCTTTCTTAGCGCGATCACTATGATGGATGATACTGTGATTTAGATATGATTGGAGATTGAAGATGTTTTAAACTTTTTAAAAGATCTATCAGGCACTTTGGAGAATCCTTTCCATCATGGTGTTTGCGGGAATTAAAATACTTATAAAGTAAACCATCGGAAGCTAAGGATGTTTGTTAGGGTTGACACTGTAATGACCAGAATACAAAATTGAATTGTCACATGCTCTTTCTGCTTAGATGTCACTGACAAAATTACTTATTCTTGGCATTGCATTGCTTGGCTCCTACTATTGCAATAACAAAAGTGAAAGGGGGGGGGGGTGTTTTTCGAAGCAAATGAGTGAGCCAAGAGCAAAACTCTAAGATTTCAACCCTCGTTGCAATAAGGGCTCTCCAAGTTTGGTGCGAGCGATTACAGACGTCATCCCGTGCGACCGGGAATTGCCAAGTGCCGATAGGAATTGATGAATTTTAAGAACATTGATCAAGCAGCTGCACATGCACATAGCCTGGTACACAAGGTGATCCTTGTTCCATTTTTACCCCTTTGTGAATATTGCAGTGCGAAACGAAACGAGAATACATTTATATAGATTTTATTGATTTTTAAACGCTTCCATATTCCATATGAAGGGAGTCTGTTCTGTTTAGTGCTGAAGAATAACTAAACATCTCGCAAGATGGTTGCTTTGTCTTGTTAAAATAAACCGAAATCTAGGTAAAACGTAAAACCAGTATGAGTTCACTGCTGTATTACAGGAGCAGTTAGGGCCAAAATAGAATTTAAGAGATTTTGAGAGCCCATACAGCATGGATTTAGTTTAAGTAAATAAAATAGTAATATTTCCACAAAAAAATTGATGACTAAAAGTCTTTGAAATTCTCAAAGGAGAAATACACTGGTACTTTGGCTATGAAGAATGATGTCAACAATTTAAAGACTGCAAGAGGTGGAGAGCCCAGCCAGTCGGGGTTGATTCTCTTTAAATCAATCTACACTGTATGTTCATCACTAGTTTACTTTGTTCTCAGCGTAAATATACCTAAGAGCTAAGGCTGTATGAAGAATTGAATTTGCAATTAAATCTGAACTCTAACGTCCACTGGTGTGTGCATTCTGGGGGCAGTCAAGGGCAGAAATGCTAAGTGTGAAACGTAGAGGCCCCGTTTATTTTGGAATCCCTTCGAACCAATCTATGTTCACTAGTTTGCTAACCGATTTCACAGCCAAAACGCACACAGGTGTTAAGGCTGTATGAATAATGAAATTTGCAATTAAACCTGAACTCTAATGTCCACTGGTGTGTGCATATTGGGGGCAGTCAAGGGCAGAAATGTTAACTATAAAAGGTAGAGGGCCCACTTTGTTTAGATTCCCTTTAAATCGGACTTCACCCATGACCGGGGTAATAGTATATTTGTAAAAGCACTTAGAGACATTGTAAGCGCTATATAAAAGCTAAATACTTTTATTATTATCATTATTATTATTACCACTTCTTAGCAACAAAACAAGCTTGTGCCTTTTCAATGAAGAATGAAATTTGCAATTTAACCTTGCCTCTACTCTCAATACATTTGCTTTGTGGGGCCTCTTTGGGCCAGTGCAAAAAGTAGAGGGCCCAGCCATTAGTGATTATTTAAATCAATGATCGATCCACATCCATGACTAGTTTGTTTACTAATTCTCACTGAAGACTCACACTGGTGCTTTGGCTATAAGAATGAAATTTGCAATCAGAAGTCAACTGGTGTGTGCATTATCGGGCCACTTTGGGCCAGGGGATATCTTTCAAGAGGTAGAGGGTCCATTTAGTTGGATTCCCTTTAAATCAAATCTACGTTCTTTTCTTGTTTGTTCACTAATCTCTCGTCGAAGACCGCTCATATCCATATGGTTTGCTACATGTATGTGTGATCAACTATACTTTCGCTTAGCTTGACAC